ATCTGCAAGGAAACTACCAAGGAAAGTATTAAGGACCCCACAATCCTCCCCCTCCCCCCTCCTCTTGCCCCCCTCCCTTGCAATCCCCACTCCCTTCTAGCAAGGATGGTGTAAGCTAGTTGGGTCGTGCAACGTCTGCAAGAAAACAAGCAAGCTCAGAGGACCCTGTGCGTTGTGTTGACGCCTTGAACAAGCTGTAGTCTTCTCAACAGACCCACAAATAGGAAGGTGGAGTTTGGATAGCCTCAAGAGTTCCCGGTCCAGGCATCATCTGAACGGGGGGGGGGGCGATGCCTGAAATTTTGTTTACAGTTCTTTCCCTCCCCCCCCCTTCCAAATGTTACTTCTTGGTCTCCTTTTTTTTTCCCCCTCCCCTTCCTCCAGTTCAGAATTGCTTCCTGCACGGGTTCGCTTGGCTTTTCCCTTCTCTGGAAATTTCCAGTTGCTCGAAACGGAAGCTCTTCTCGCCCTTCCCAGCCTGCATGTCGAAGGTTTAAGAGGCGCCTGGATCCCCACTCCCCAGAATTCCCCCCACCCATAACGTGCCTCAGTTTTCCTCTCTTGGAAGATCCCACACACAACGTAGATGGGCCCCTTTAAGACCCTGAGCACATGACGCCCCCACCCCCCCAAAGTCTCTTGGTTGTGGGAATGGGTTCCTTGTTTGGCCAGTTGAGTATCCTTCATCTTTGGTCAAGGCAGCGAGAAACCGCCTTATGGGACCTCCCAGGAGATTTATCAAGAAGAATATACATCTGGAAGGGACCTTAGAGGTCATCCAGTCCAACGCCCTGCTCCAGCAGGGGATCTTAGGCCATTTCAACCAATCGATCAGAGCTGAAAGGGACCTCGGAGGTCCTCTAGTCCAACGCCCTGCTGATTGATTGACCGAAACGGTCCATGGTCTCCTGCTTGAGCAGCGGGTTGGGCTAGAGGACCTCCGAGGCCCCTTCCAGCTTCTATTCTGATTAGTCCCTGACCCTTCAGCCGAATCCTCTCTCTTTCCAGCTGAGCAGGAGGAAGCCGGGATGACTCGGTCATAACATCCTGTGATTGTATCGTCTGTTCATCCGGCTGTGAAATTCCGGTTTTTGTACTTTGGCAGGGAAATGGGGGCACCGAGGAAGACTCACCTCTGACTCACCCACCATTTTATATCTGAAAACCAAAACCAAACCAAAAAGAAACAACCACACATATTTTTTTAGCATTTTACTATTCAGCGCCGGGGTGTGAATGGAGCGGCCTTTTTAAAAGCCTCAAAAGTTTAGCAAACTTTTGCAAAAGTGTTTTGGGTTTTTTTTGAGGGGTGGATGGGAATCAGACTAAAGTCGAGAAGAGCCGGGTGTTTGAGCTGTTCACTTTGGTCACTAAACGAAGCGTTGTAAAATGGAGGCCTGCCTCTTGGGGTTCCACTTATACGTCATTTAAAAAAAATAAAAATAAACCCACCACCCCGCTCTGGTTTTCTATAGGGGCTGACCGGCCCACTATAGGAGGTCAGTTATGGGTTTTAACTGGTTTTTGGCTGAATTGTGTTCGGGCCGCACGCGGCTCCTTCGGAAGGCGGAAGGCGGGAATTTTCCTTGCGCGGTTCAACGAACAATAACGCCGGATGGGAAAAGGTTTGATGTGTGTTGTTGTGCGGTGTTTTTTTTACCGGCGGCCTCAATTTGAGGGGTTCTGGGTGGTTTCTGAGCTGGGGGGGGGGTTTCCTTGCAGACGTTTCATGACCCAACTAGGGAACATCATCAGTGCTAGGAGGGAAGGGAGGGAAGGAAGGAAGGAAGGAAAGATGTGATAGATGGGAAGGAAAGAAAGACAGAATAAAAGAGTTGGAAGGAAGGAAGGAAGGAAGGAAGGAAGGAAGGAAGGAAGGAAAGAAGTGATAGATGGGAAGGAAGGAAAGAAAGAAATGCAGAATAAAAGAGCTGGAAGAGTCCTCAGGGAATAACAGAAGGAAAAAGGAAGGAAAGAAGTGATAGATGGGAAGGAAGGAAAGAAATAAAGACAGAATAAAAGAGTTGGAAGGAAGGAAGGAGGGAGGGAAGGGTGGGTGGGTGCTGGCGGCTGGCCTTGCCCTCCTGCCCTTTGCGGTGCTGAGTTTACCTCCTCCGGGCTGTGGGGGAAACCTGTATTAACTGGGGAGTGGCTTCCGGATGGGTGCCTTCCTCCCTCCCTCCTCTTCCTCGCAGGCGTTTCAAGGCGGAGGAAGTGATGTCAGGCACTTGTTAAACCGGGAGGATGAGCAGCAGCGTCTGGTTTGGCAGCAATGTGTGTCGTGCCCCTCCCCGCCGCTGGAGATTTACTCCTGATAGTTGGTGGCTGAGTAGGCAAAAACTAGGTTACCGAAGGGAAGAGCGAAGTCTGAGAAGGGGGGGGGGTTTGGGGCTTGTAAGGGCGGCCCAGAGAGCCCCCCCTTCCTCTCTCTCTCTCTCTCTGCAGACCCCTCCCCCCGGAGGGGGTCCTGGCTTGGATGGGGGTCCCCATCGGTACCCCTCCTTCCCTCCCCCCCCCCGATTGCTCGCAATAGGACAGGCCCAGGCGGGAGGGAATGGGGTTTGCAGTTTGGGGGGGGGTGTTTGTTTGGAAGACAATGGCCAACTTGCGTTGTGTTGTGTTGTGTTGTGTGCCTGCAGCCGTCGAAGTGAAAGGAATTTCTTGGTTGGGGGGGGGGGAGAGGTCTCTTTTGCGGGGTGCAGGGATCTTAAGTGGGCTCAGTAAGACAGCCGGAGCGTTTTTCTCAGTCAGAAGAGAGCTGGAAGGGACTTTGGAGGTCTTCTAGCCTGACCCCTTGCTCATGCAGGAGACCCTAGACCTGTTCAATCGGGAGAGAGCTGGAAGGGACCCCAGAGGTCTTCTAGCCTGACCCCTTGCTCAAGCAGGAGACCCTAGACCTGTTCAATCGGGATAGAGCTGGAAGGGATCCCGGAGGTCCTCTAGTCCGACCCCTTGCTCAAGCAAGAGGACCACAGAACCATTCCGGTCAAACGGTTGTCCGACCTCTTCAGCGACGGAGCCACCCACAGCTTCTGGTGGCAAGTCGTTCCTCTGGTTATTCTCCCTGCCTGTAAAATTGCTCCAACCGTTCTCAGCGGCTTCTGTCCTCGGTTCGCTTCCCTCCAGCCTTGGGGGGGGGGTGTCATCCCCTCCCTGCCCTCCCCCAGGCTGGGTGATTCAGCCTCTGTCCCGGGCATTCGTCCCCTCCCTCGCTGGGCTCTCCCCCCTCCATCCCTTCATTATGGCGAGGACTTCCTTTCACTAAGGACACACCTTTCCAAAGTGGTTATTAGGCGCAGGGGGTGTTTCTCCCGACAGGAAGGGCACTGCCACCCATTTCCTGTCCTGTCCCGGCTTCCTCCCATACGCCGGGAGGGAATTCCAGGTTCCCGTTGGAGAAACTGAGGCCGGGAGGGAGGGAGGGAGGGAGGGAGGGTGGGGCCCACGGGCCTTTTGTTTTTAGGGGCAGGAAAGGAAAGAGAGAACAAGAGAGAGAAAGGAAAGAGAAAGAAAGAAAGAAAGAAAGTAAGGAAGGAAAGGAGGAAAGAAAGAAAGAATGAAAGGAAAGAAAGAGGAGGAAAGAAGGAAAAAGAAAGAAAGCACATGAAAAGAAAGAGAGAAAGAGAAGGAAAAAGGGAAAGAAAGAAAAGGAAGAGAAAATCAGAACAAAAAGAGAACAAAAAGAAAGAAAAAAGGAAAGAGTAAAAGGAAGGGAGAGAGTAAGAGAAAGAAAGGAAGGAGAGAGAAAAAGGAAAGAGAAAGAAAAAAGGAAGGAAGGAAAGGAGGAAAGAAAGAAAAGAAAGAGAAAGTTGGAGAAAAAAGAGAAGAAAAAAGGAAAGAAAAAGAGAAAGAAGGAAGGAAAGAAAGGGAAGGAAAGGAAAAGAGAGAGAGAAAGACAGAGAAAAAAAAGAAAGAAAAAAGAATGAAAGAAAAGAGAAAAAGGAAGGGAGATTGGGAGGGAGGGAGGGAGGAAAAGGAAGGAGAGAAAGAAAGCTCTATTCTGATTGATTGATTGATTGATTGATTGACAGACATCCTTCCTGGCTCCTCCTGCTCTCCAGGCCAGGAAGGAGGAGCTGTCGTGGCTTCTCCTTCCTCCTCTGCCGCCCTTCTTACCCTCCCTCCTTCCTCCTTTCCCAGGGAGCGAAGGGGCTGGCTGAGGACCATGGGCCCCTCCTTCTGAGAAGCCCAGCGGGGCCATGTCCACCACAGGCATTGCGGCCCAGGAGGTCAACCTCTCCTTGAACCCGGACTTTCTCCGTAATGGAAGCCTGGAGACCTGTTGCCGTCGCCACAACGGCCAGCTTGCCAAGTGAGTGTTGGGACAAGGGAAGGGGGGTGTTGAGGCAGTGCGCGGGGTCTTGGACACACCCGCGTGCTTCTTCCTGTTTCATTTATGGATGTTGGTTTTTTTAAAAAAAACCCTCCTCCCTTTTCTCTCACAACCCAGCCCTTTCTTCCACGTGGACTCGGTAGCAATGGCTTGCAACTTGAACCCAGGACCGCATCCTCTGACCTCCGCCGGTAGGTAACCCCCAAATGTTGTCCCCTTTCTCATTCGATCCCTGCTTTCGGGGCTCTCCGCTCATGGTTTGATGAGGGCGTCCGTTGGAACCCTGACAAACTCTACACCGAAGTTTCCCGTGGAGTCCTTAGTGCTTCCAATCATCCAAAATTCTATTATTTATCCCAAAATATCCCCTTTCCTCCTAGGCCAGGTCTCCTGTCCTGATCCAGACGGTGGTCCGAGCTTCCTCTTCCGAGCCAGCCCTTCTCTCCTTCGCTCCCCTGCTCCTTCCACCTCCGAAGACCGCCTCGTTTCCGGCTTCGGTGGACTGTCTCTGACCATCAGCCAGAACGCCGAGGAGACGCCTTCTCCAATCCCGGGGAAGAGCGGGCCACTCCTCTCCCTTCCCCTGTCTTCGGCGGAGCGAAGCGCCCGTCCGCTCCCGCCTCTGCCCGTCACCGAAAACTTCCTGCACGACGAAGTGGACCGAGAAGTGGAGTTCCTGACCACTTCGGACACCGAGCTTTTGCTGGAGAGCTGCGCGAGTCCTGGGTTTAAGCTGCTGGCCCAGGGTCAGCGAAGTTTCAGGGGCTGTGGCCAAATTAACTACGCCTACTTCGACGCTCCGGCAGAGGTGAAGCCGCAACAGGCCGGCTGCCCGGAGAACGCCTGTCCTCCCCTTCCCCCTCCACAACAACCTCACCGCCGGTTGCGCCGCTCTCATTCCGGCCCTGCTGGGTCCTTCAACAAACCATCAATCAGGGTCTCCACCCACCTCTGTCGCTCCTCTCCCAGCTCCGACGACGACAAGCCCGAGGTTCCCCCCCGGGTACCTCTGCCTCCTCGGCCCCTCAAACCCGACCATCGGAGGTGGTCGGCCGAAGTGACCTCCGGTGCATATAGTGATGAGGACAAACCTCCCAAGGTGCCTCCGCGGGAACCTCTGCCCTGGAGCCATTCCCGGACGCCGAGTCCCAAAACGTTGCCGGCGTATCTCCACGGGGTCATGCCCCCGACGCAGAGCTTTGCCCCGGATCCGAAGTACGTCAGCAGCAAAGCTCTCCAGAGGCACCACAGCGAAGGTTCGGCCCACAAGGTGCCCTGTATCCTGCCCATCATCGAAAACGGCAAAAAAATCAGCTCCACTCACTATTACCTCTTGCCGGAGCGACCCCCTTATTTGGACAAGTACGAGATGTTCTTCCGGGAGGCAGAAGAGGGCAGCTTGAGGCCGGAGGAAGGACGGCAGCCGGCCGGCCATGAAGCCGCCACGCTGGTCAAGGCTGAGCGCAAACACTTGGCGTGCATGGTTTCTCCCTAGGGATTCGGCGAACGCCGCAAAGAGTTGGAATCTGAGAAGGACAATTCCTCCTCCCGAGGACCCCGTGTAGAGACTTGGCTGCTCCTGGACGTAAAAGGGGTGGTGGAGACGTCAGTGCTGAAGCCTCCTGGATGGCCGGCCGTGGTAGCCAACGGCTCAAACTGCCGACACCCATTTGCTCGGGCAGGAGGAGATTTGGAAAGGGGGACAAGTCCTACAAAACGGAGGTTGGCCAGTTATTGAATATTCTAGAGCCGCGGTCTCCGGCCTTTACGGTTTTACGGACCGGGGGGGCCGGGGGTGGGATTTTCTCCGTTAGCGCAGCTCCTTTCTTGCGACCGGCGGGCACGCACATCAGCCACTCGCACAAACGATGTTACGTGTATCCGCTCGGTTCTGAACAGAACACGGCCCGGTAGGGGACTGTGGCCCGTGGCTCAGCCCCCCCTTCCGTCCTAGAATAATATATACCTATATGTAGAAACTCACCTCAGTTAGAACGACTGAATTGTTGTCTTGCTAAGGAGACCGATGGCTTTAGCCGAGGAGAGGAAGTTCAGTATTTTTGTTTTTTGCCGGTGTTAATAGACGTTTTTCCACTTTGAGGGGTAGGTAACCTTTTAAATTATTTCTGTCCTGGGATGTTTTCTCTTCTCTGTTCCCTCTGGGGTGGGTGGGAAAAACGTGAGTTGGCCGCCCACTTTCCTGACAATTCTTTGGTCGACGCAGCCGTCTACATTTTTGAGGTCCAAGAAAGATGTATTTGATTTCGCTAGATCAGCGGTCCCCAACCTTGCTAGCTTGGCGGTCCAGGCCCCGGGGAGGGGCAGGGAGAGGAGACGGTTTCGTGCCTCCCTTTGGGTTCGCACAAATGGACCTTCGCACCTGAGCTTTGCACCTGCCGTTTGTGCAAGTGAAGCTTTGTGCGTGAGCGCCCGCCTCTCAACACACAAGTAAAGCTACGTGCCTGTGTAGAGTCAGTCGCTCACCGCTGATACGGCCCAGGTCCAAATGGGCCACCACAGCCCGGGGAGGATTGGGGGACCCCTGATGGAGATCAACAACCCTGCATTTCCGCAGCTGGAGAGAACTGTGTGTATCTACACAACACGTAAAAAAAAAAAAGCATTCCGACACGGCCACAACATTTTGAAAAGGGGACCAATTGTGTTCATAGTGCTGGTTTGGGTTGTGGGGCACCAATCCTTGGGAACGGAGTCCTACTTTTGGATAATTTCTGATCCACGCAGGGTCTCATTCCATGGGCGAATTGCTGCTGTTTTTACCTTCTCACACTCAACATACACACTGCATAAATAACCAGAAGGCCAAAACGGTCCATCCGAGTTCCGTTTTGTTTTGTTTTGTTGGATTATCACAAACCCCCGTTGTTTACACTTCCCCAACCGCTAAAACGGGGAACGTTTTCTCTTTCTTTTTTCTTTCTTTCCTGACATTTTTAGGAAAGCCGACCGTTGTTCTAATCCCAACGAAATGAAGGTTTATCACAGAAACAATGCACTGAAATTTTGTTGTATTGTATATATATATATATATATATCATTCAGTTGTATTTTGGATATATATATATATTTTCACGTCTTGGATTTAATAAAGTTATGACATAGTTATTTATGGTAAAGGTGCAGCTCCTATATTTATTGGTTGTCCGGGATTCCCTCCCTCTTCTTCTCCCAGCCTCCTCCTCCTCTTTTTAAAGACTGGAAGCCAAATTGAGTTGCCACATCGAATTGACACTCGGTGTGTGTTTTAGGGTGTGTGCCTTTATTATGCACTCCACATTGGTCAATCCCGTCGTACGAGGTGCCTATCAACATTGGGCAGTCTGCCACACCGCGGCTACACCAGAAGTTGTAGGCTGGATTTGAAGCTGCTAAAGAAGGCAGCTGAACTCCTCGGCTTCACAGCCACACAAATTTCGTGTGTGTGCAGTTTTTGTGTGCAAAAACTGCACGGTGCACTTTTAGGACCTTTTTATACTATGGTTGTGAAAGCGAATCTGCCTTGGCTTTAAAATACATCAGGGGAGCTTTTGAAGAGTGGTTTGTTTTTTTTTAACGTCCTCTTTGTTAAAAGTTTGTGTCCTCTTTGCCAAAAGGACAATTTTGGTCTTTCTGACGTACACACACACACACACACTCACACTTTGAAAAGGAATAGATTTTGCTCTGCAAAACCACTTGCTCAGCCTCCTGATTTACCTATCCAGAGAACCTGTTTTCAAGTCACCTGCATTATGAAATGGCATGCTAAGAAATTATTATGTGGGCCTCCTTACTCCGATTTTATGTGGGTTGTTGTCTACGTTCGCTGGGCCGAAATACACAAACGCTGGAATCGGACACGGGTTCTGGCTTCCTAGGACTAGTTACAAGAGCCTGGACTGCCATCTGTCAAAAAGGGTGTAGGATCTGCCTGGGCCGGAAGGGGTTGGGGTTGGACTAGAAGACCTCCAAGGCCCCTTCCAGCTTCTATTCTGATTAGTCCCTGACCCTTCACCGAATCCTATCTCTGCCATCCCAAGGTATATACAGCATAATACACAAACACATTTAAAAGTCTGCCATCTAAATGGTGAATTTAGGAACTGGTTATTTATGTAACTGTAACTTGTTATTTGCTTATTGGCAAAATAGCCAGGAGATGCAATTTCCCACAGACTTTGAAAACCGCGGTTTTCATTCAATGTGAGGTCTATTTTCACCCCGTTTCCCCCCCCCAGAGTGATGGGGGACTCAGAGTAAGACCCCTCGGCGGATTTCGCCACATCTGTAACCTGATTATTTTTATTTATATTAACTTTCGCGATTCCTTCCCTGCGCCTGCCATAACGAAAAACCTCCACAAGGCGGCAGGCTGCGAAATTTCTTTCCTTTACCTGCAATGACGCAAAATGGCCACGAGATGGCGGGCTATCATTATTAAGTTCTTTCCTCCACCTGCCATGCGCATGCGCAAAATGGCTACGCGATGGCGGGCTATTACTATTAAATTCTTTCCTCCACCTGCAATGACGCAAAATGGCCACGAGACGGCGGGCTATCATTATTAAGTTCTTTCCTCCACCTGCCATGCGCATGCGCAAAATGGCTGCGCGATGGCGGGCTATTACTATTAAATTCTTTCCTCCACCTGCAATGACGCAAAATGGCCACGAGACAGCGGGCTATCATTATTAAATTCTTTCCTCCACCTGCAATGACGCAAAAAGGCCACGAGATGGCGGGCTATTATTATTAAGTTCTTTCCTTCACCTGCAATGACGCAAAATGGCCACGAGACGGCGGGCTATCATTATTAAGTTCTTTCCTCCACCTGCCATGCGCATGCGCAAAATGGCTACGAGATGGCGGGCTATTATTATTAAATTCTTTCCTCCACCTGCAATGACGCAAAATGGCCACGAGATGGCGGGCTATTATTGTCAATGCAATTTCGCACAGACTTAGAAAACCGCGGTTTTCATGTAATTTTGGGTCATTTTCACCCCGTTTTCCCCCCCGAGAGTGATGGGGGGACTCAGAGTAAGACCCCTCGTCGGATTTCGCCACATTTGTAACCTGATTTTTTTAATTTCTATTAACTTTCGCTATTCCTTTCCTGCGCCTGCCATAACGAAATACGAAAAGTCTATGGGAAATTGCATTGACAATAATAGCCCGCCATCTCGTGGCCATTTTGCGTCATTGCAGGTAGAGGAAAGAATTTAATAATAGCCCGCCGTCTCGTAGCCATTTTGCGCATGGCAGGTGGATGAAAGACGTTAATAATGTTAGCCCGCCATCTCGTGGCCATTTTGCGCATGGCAGGTGGAGGAAAGAACTTAATAATAATAGCCCGCCGTCTCGTGGCCATTTTGCGTCATGGCAGGTGGAGGAAAGAAATTGCACAGAAATAACAGCCTGCCACCTGGTGGAGGTTTTTCGTTATGGCAGGTGTAGGGAAGGAATCGCGAAAGTTAATATAAATAAAAATAATCAGGTTACAAATGTGGCGAAATCCGACGAGGGGTCTTACTCTGAGTCCCCATCACTGTAGAGGGGAAAACGGGGTGAAAATGGACCTCAAATTACATGAAAACGGTGGTTTTCAAAGTCTATGGGAAATTCCATTGACAATAATAGCCCGCCGTATCCATTTTGCGCATAGCAGGTGGAGGAAAGAACTGAATAATAATAGCCCGCCATCTCGTGGCCTTTTTACGTCATTGCAGGTGGAGGAAATAATTTAATAATAATAATAGCCGGCCATCTCGTGGCCATTTTGCGTCATTGCAGGTACAGAAATTTCTCCACCTGCAATGACGCAAAATGGCCACAAGACGGCGGGATATTATTGTCAATGCAATTTCCCAGACTTTGAAAACCACGATTTTCACGTAATTTGTGTGAAATTCCGGTGTTTTTACTTTGGAAGGGAAATGGGGGCGCCAAGGAAGACTCACCCACAATTTTATGTCTGAAAAACAAAACAAAACAAAACAAAACAACCACATATTTTTAGCATTTTACTATTCAGTGCCAGGGTGAATGGAGCACCCTTTTTAAAAGCCTAAAAGTTTTGCAAACTTTTGCAAAAGTGTTTTGGGGATTTTTTTGGAGGGTGTGTGTGTGTTGGGAATCGGCTAAAGTGGGGAAGAGCCTGGTGTTTGAGCTGTTAATTTTGGTCACTAAATGAAGCGTTGTAAAATGGAAGGAAACCCTCTGAGCTTGGGGTTTTTCTTGCAGGCGTTTCATGACCCAACTATGTAACATCAGTGCTAGAAGGGAAGGGGAAGGAAAGGAAAGGAAAGGAAAGGAAAGGAAAGGAAAGGACGGACGGACTGTGGGGTCCTCTGAGCTGGGTGGTTTTCTTGCAGACGTTTCATGGCCCAAGTAGGGAACATCATCAGGGCTGGAAGGGAGTGGGGTTTGCAGAATGGATGAGGAGGATTTTTATAATTCTAATTCTTTTATAATTCTAATTCTTTTTACATTCTGGTTTTTTTTTTATCATTGTCATTGTTTATCATTCTGAATGGATGGGGGTGTAGGGTTTATTTTCATTTCATTTAATTTAATGTATTGTTTTGTTGTAATGATTTCCGGGCCAGGAGACACTCCATTCAAATCCTCTTTTATTGCACGAATGAAGTTGCCACAAGGGTCATTGGCAGCCACGCTCCCTTCCTTCGCCCGCTAAGTGGTGCAGGAGAAAAAAAATAAATTCCTGGTTGTAAAAACGAAACCAGCGAGGCTTTCTGACTGTGTCATGCTTCTAGTCCTTAAGGACGAGGGGTCCCTTCGTCTGGGCGGCCACTTCCTTCCCCAGCAGCGTTTCCACGATCTCCAGGCCGAATTCGAAACTGGTGCCCGGTCCTCGGCTCGTTATGATGTGTCCATCTTTTTCCACCCGATTCTCCGAGTACTTGTAGTGATCTTACAAACAAGAGCAAGCCCTTAGTAGTTACTCCAGGTGATAAAATGGGCACCCACTTCCCCCAACAACAACTTGACACGGCTTTCCGACGCTTGACTCCGCTCCAGATCCACTCCTGATTCAAGGGTCTCCATTCAACGGCCCCAAGAAACAGTGACTTGGGACCCATTCCTCGCACTTATGACCGTTGTTGCATGGCCGGTGGGATATACGCTCGGATGCTTCCCCGCCGACTCCCCTTCACGGTGGCTGTGAGGAGTGAATCCAGTTTCCCCACAGACTTCACTGGTCAGAGTGTCACAAAAGGGGATATTGGCACTGTCATAAATGTGAGTCGGTTGCCAAGTAGCCAAATGTCATCTTGTGACCTCCAGGCACAGTGCAACTTAGTGACAGATTCATATTTATGACGGCTGCAGTGTCCCCGGGGATCACGGGATCTTCCTTTTTACGACCTTCCGAAGAGCGACGTCTAACGGGGAAACTGGATTCGCTTAATGAGGACTGCAGGTCAATTGTAACAACTGCAGGGATTCATTTAACAACGATGAAATATTGTAAATTTTATTGGCAGCTTCTGGATGCTTAGAATTTTATTTGCAGCTTATGAATTCTTAGAATTTTTATTTGCAGCTTCTGGATTTTTAGAATTTTTATTTGCAGCTTTCTAATTCATTTAACAAGCACAGGAGGAAAAGTCGTAAAACGGGCTAAAACTCACTTAACATGCTTCTCACTTAGCGACCTAAGTTTCGGGCTCAATTGTGCTCATAAGTCGAGGACTACTTGTGCAATAGGGGGGCCTGCCCGCCACTTCTGTGGCCCGGTTCCGAATGGCTCAAGGCCCAGGAATGGACCACGGCCCAGGAATTGGGGGATCCCCGATCTAGATTATATTCTGGTGATAAGGAACATGGGCATCGTGGGGTTGGACTAGATGACCTACAAGGTCCCTTCCAACTCTGTTAATCTGTTAAACAGAGACAATGTTTTGTGGGATACTGACCTCCGTTCATCATCTTGTCTTTGGCCAAGGGGTGAGTGGTCACCT